CGCTTGGGAAGCGCGGAGGCGCTCCCGCCGAGGGTTCGGATCCCACATACAGACCGGTTCCCGCTCACTGGCTGAGTGAGGCGCGGGGGCAACGCCAAGGGTTGCGATCCCGTTGCCGGTCCCGGTCCGGTACGGGGGCAACACTGAGGGTTGCGATCCGTTGCCGGACACAGAAAAAGACAAAAAAAAAAAAAACAGACGATATATGTAAAGCTCTTGACAGATGATAATCAAACCATAAATTGTAGTTGATACTACTATCAATTCCTTGCTAGGATCACGTACATAAAAATGCTATTCAAAGTTCTTGTCTCTCTGAAAGATGCTTATTGACAACCTGTACTTATATCAGTGACATCTGTATAATCAACAACATAGGTTAATTCACATCCTATTGTTAGGGTGTCGTTAATGCTACTCAAAAAATATTTCTTCTAAAGGGCTGTGACTGCCTGGACAACTGGGGTCTGATACTTCTTGAAATTTGCTAATCACATCTGTTTTAGCTTTAGACATTTTCTGGGATTTTGCCAGCAGCTATGACATTTTAATGACTACAATAAACCTCAAAGCCTCATCAAATCTTTGCTGTATGTGTGAAAATTATGTCCTCTTCAATTAAACATTCAATCTTGGCTCACACCAAGGCCTTATGGAAAAGGAGGTGAAACCTGAATGGGAACGTGAGATGAAACGTACCGCCACGGTTCTGGCCATCATGCCAGATGGTATTTAGAAGAGAAAGAAATTCATTAGAGAACCTTTTGGTCTGTATTTTCTTTAAATATTTACTGGGTACCTTTCATGTGTTGCAAACACTGGCATCTCTAAAGATTAGCAGGGCATTTTTGTTTAAATATTCAATGTGTGTGGGGTGGGGGGGTTGTCTCCTCCTCTGCCTTTGTGACACTTCACGTCCCTCAGTGAAGCCCAGTACAAAAATGAAAAATGATTGTAGGCAATGTTCAGTTTTCCTTCCTAAGACAGCTCCACCAGCTTCAGAAGCTCTTAAAATTGGCTGAGGAAAAGTATCAGTTGAATGCTGAGAGACCCAGAATGACATTTAAGAAGACGAAATAGGATGTACCCAAATGAGGAGCTTTGGGAGAAGCCCTGCCTCTCCACTCACCTCCCAATTCACTCTTCTTATCCCTGTGCTACTTATCATCAAACTCACTGGGATTCCAAGGGAGGCAGCCCCCGGAAGGAGAAGGGGAAAGACAAAATGAACAGAGACCAGGTTGCTGCTGAATAGATGACACAAGAGGTCAGGCCATGGGTTTTACAAGGAGCCAAGAGAAGGGAGAGGCCCACGGAGTGAACACACATGGTTCTTCCTCTGCCATTACTGACCCCTGGTGCCATCCTGAGGACTGCTCTGGGCCTGATTCTGCCACTGGACAGGGACAGAAAAAACTGCTCCATGATGGCTTATTCTGCTTTATTACAGTATGAATCAAGCTCTTCATCTTAGATAAGGATAAAACTGCAGCTCTTTAGGACAGAGAAAGAAATGACAAGTTCGCATATTCTGTTCCTGAACAAAGCAACCATTTGGTTGAATTCACTCTCTCAACCACGTCAACAGAATGAAAAAAACAAAAAAAACCCCATGTTCCTTTAAAAATAATTTACAAGGTAAAAATATTCACTTGTAACCACTATCCTTATTTAAGCAAATTTTATGACCAAAATAAAAATAAATGGCCCTCCTGCCACCGGGAGCACATCTTTCCCACTTTACTTCCATTTTCAAGCCGTTCTCAGTCTAAGACTTAGGTTTCTGAGCACTCTTTCACAAACATTTTTAAAATGTTTATTTTATGTCTTAGTGTAAAAATATTCCTGGTTGAAGCTCTTCATTTCCTCAAGCTCTCCTTTTGGCACTCCAGGCTCCATTTCCACATTAACACGCTCCCTAAATCCTCCGTAGAGCTCTTCAATTGGAGTTATACAAGCTCCAAGGCAAGTATTTATATTCTTGGACAAGGAGATGTCTCCACAGTGAAAACATAAGACTCTAGAAATGCCAAAGGAAAATTCCTGCCCAAGTGAGACATATTTTCACCTTTTAAAAAAGCCAAAAAGGGGCTTTCAGCATTTGGTTTTAAATAATTAAAAATGTAAATTAAACTAAAATAGAATGCTTACGGTGAATCTTACCATCATTAGACGTACATACATAAACCAAACACACAGGAACGTGTGTGTGCATGTGCGTGTGTGGTATGTATATAAAGCAGCATAGTAAACTAGCTAAGAAAATGCATGAGTTCTAACTGGATAGACCAGGGTAGAGCTCAGTAAGTCTGCCTCTTCCTGGCTGTGTGAACGTAACTTCTCTAAGCCACATTTTTCTCATCTGTACAATGGGGTTAGTGTAGTTTCTGCTTCTTAAGGTTGTTATGAGAATTATATGACAGTAATCTTTTAATAAATGGTTGCTGCTATTATTATTATTAAAGTTATAACTATTAAATGTAAGAAAATGTAGATATAACAAGATGTAGAGAAAATAAGCAAATGATCAACACTGATAAAAGAGAGAATGCCTCCAAAGAGTGCATAGAGATAGAAAATTTCATGAGGGCTGGAGTGTACCATAACTGAACTCTGCACCAATTTTACTCCATGACCCAGACATAACTAATCCTTTTAAAACTTTTTTTTTCAAAAGTAATCTTAACTATTATCATAATAACAGAACAGTTCCTATTACCTTCTAGTTGCCTCTTCAGTTTTCTCAAATCTTTTATGAGGTCTTCAAACTTCACTTGGGAGGCCAGAAAGAAATCTTGTGGTTCAGGCAGGGGGAAAACACTCTTTTCTGTTCCAGCTTCCTAAAAGATATGGTAAACAAAAGTACATTATACTTCCCAATTGTCACTTTCAATTGAAATTCCAAAGTGTCAGTCAGGAAAAAAAACAAGGTTTTTATTATTGGATGTTCAAATAAGAATTGTAACAATGCTCCTCTGCTATTCATAGGTTAGGACTTGTTACTTTGAAGTACTTTTGTGTCTTCCACAATACCTTTTTGGTCTTATTGGCATTAAGGTTGGCTATGGCTATGACACAGAATAGGTTTTATTTTGCCTCAGGAATCAGAGAAAATTATCAGATATGTCTAGATCTTAGACATTCTTCTCCCATGGAAAAAGACATAGGGAGAACACATGAAAGTACTTAAGTTTAAGTCCCTGTTTGAGTTACACATGCTAGCAATTAGATAACTCATCTTCGGGATATGCCAATGGGTGTGCATTGGAAGGTGCTGGATCAGAAGGCACTGCAACGGGAGAAATAATCACCCTCCCTCTGCCTTCACCCACCTTTCTCTGCAGCTTAAAGCTCGTGTGCACGTGCACATGATCACATTCTTTGTATGTTTGTAAGACTTTCCCAAATGTTGCTTGGCTTATCTTAGGAGATATTTACTGAGGGCATGGTTGGGTATAGTTCTGACAAGCTCCACAGCTATACCTAGTAGAGGATCTAAGCTGACAAACACCTTGAGGGACAAAACCTTCAGGCACACTGAAGCATAAGCTGAGCCTTAAATATCTTCTCCAGCCTAGCTTGATTTCTCCCTGAATTGTTTAATGTAAGCTTTGTATCTTGCATATCTTAGGCAGTCTCCAGTTATTCCTCTCTCCACACTGGCTACTTTGCCAACTTTCCGTCACATTCCATCTTCTCTACTGCCATTAGGACTAATTCCAAACTCTAAAACTGCTTTACAAGGTACTTTATGATCTGGCCTCTGTCTACATTTCCAGCCTTATTTCTACCTTCCCCCATCTCCAACTCCCTCTTCCAAACCTTCATGAAGTAACAGAACAGGCCACAATCTCTTGCCCTTAGGCCTTTATAAAACTGTCCCTTTACAATCCTTCCCTGGAGCATCCTTGCACCTCCTTGTTCATACTCAAAACAAATGTCACGTCCTCAAAGTCTTCCCCTAACCCCCAGCACTTGGTTGTTTCTCCCTATATTCCGAGAGCCTGATACTCACCATTATCACAGCACTTATCACCATGAATTTTTAAATTGCTGTGTTAGCTTGTATGTCTTCCCCACTAGACTATAAACACCTCAAAGACAGAACTGCATCTTGTTCTCGGTATAGTATACGATATCTGGCATTATCAATAAACTGTTTTTGGTTGGTGGGCACATTATAGACAGCCTATAAAACACTGCTCTGAGAAGTTTATACCTTTAGTAGGAGACATTTGACTTATTACCATATGTTCTTGGGGTTTCAAGAGTTTCCCAGTCTCTTCCCCTTCCTTTAAAGCCTTTAGCTGCATTTGAGATGCTAGCAGAAGGTGGTTTTCCTCATTTTACCAGATAAGAATGTACTTATTTTTTTTTATATTCCAATATTTATTTTACAATTTTTGAAACAACAGATGTAGTGCTCTAGTCTGAGTGCCAAGAAGGAACAACATATAAGATACTTACCTCAAAGTTCCATGGTAATCTACACTGGAAGAACTCAGGCATAATATCTCTATTTTACAAAACTTTTTATCAGACTCAGTCAGTTTCAATTTTTTTTTTTTTTTTTAAAGAGATAAATTTTAGTTATGCAAGTGCCTACCCAAACCCAGAGTTCTGAATGTATCTGGTTTTGGAGTGTGTGGACCTTAGTCATAATGTCAGCCACTAACATTTGAGCATTTGTGACATGCCAGGCACTGCACTAAATAAATGCTTTATGATGTTCAGTCTTCACAATTCCACTATGACATAAATACTATTATCCCATTTTCAAATGAGGAACTAAAGGTTAAAGAGATTAAGGAACTGCTCAAAGTCACACATTTAGTTAGAAGCTAACTCTCAGTCTGGGGCATCTGACCCCAGAGCCTGTCTTTGCAAACCCTCTGCTGTGCCTCATTACTGAGACCAAAATCACAAAAGCTGCTCTCTTAGAGTTCAAAAGACATGATTCTACATGGGTTTCTTTAAACTTAACAGACCTAGACTTGGACCAAAAACCAGTCCTGAGTAGAAGGAAGCTTGCAGCAGGAGTCACCTTTCCTTAGCTAATTGCTCATCACCTCTAACCACAAAAATCATCACTTATGCTCCTAGAGGGAAGGGATAATTTCATAAATCACAGAATTTATGCCTTTGATGAGTGATATGCATTTTGCACAGTGAAAACCAAAAGAGCACCACACAAATATAGACTTATTTTTCCTAGACTGGGCCATTCCATGTCTGAAACTACTCTTGAAAGATTTTCCTCCATGAAGTTGATTCCATTGGGTTCAGTTCCCTCCAATGACAATCATACTCCGCAAGGAAATTTCAGCCTTCCTATACAATGCATTTGTCTTGGGAAAGGAAGAGACTACCACGTAAATCTGCCCATACCAACCCAGGGTTAGAAATGTCACCTCCCAAGACTCCTCAGGATAATTGTTCTGAAACACGGTGCCTGCTGTCAGAAGTTAGGGCATGTACATATGTGCCTGCTTCCTCTTCTTAATTTTCTGAAGCTCAACATGCCTTCCCCACGCCACAAGAAAACAGCTTTCGTATCTCTTCCCACCTAGTTCTTTAGAGATGCCACTTACTATGCTCTTGTGGACATTTATATTATGTCCAATTCAGCAACTGTTTATCAGACACCTACATCATAGATACTAAAAAAGAGACAACAGTGAATTCGGGCCATCAAGGAACAATGCCAAGATAATAGGTAATTGCTTACAGATATATACAAGGAGAAATAAGATGTATTAGAGAGAGATTCAAGTAAAGCACTCCTAGGCTTCAAAGGTGAGAGCTTCAAAATCTTCCTTCAAAGACTTCGTGGAAGAAAGGTCATCATGTAAGATTGGAGTAGATTTTTTTTATTGTATCTTTTTCCCCTTTTACAAAGATGATTTATGTTCATTATGTTCAGTAATTGAAAGAAAGAAGTGAAAAAATCTCTTACTATCCTAATATCCAGAAATAATCAAACATTTGAATATATATCTTTCTAGGTTTTTCTGTTTGTATATATTTATATTTATGTATTTATACTATATGAATTATTTTGAAAGATGTTGTAATTTAAAAGCAGATTAAGAATACTTTCCACTGCCACTAAATTTTCTCCAATACACTTTCCATGGCAGTATATTATTCCCATTGTATATTTGATTTAGTCTCTACATTGGACACCTACCAAAAACTTTTCAATATTTTGCTATTACAAATTATCATAAAGAATGATACAAATCTCTAGTTATTTCCTCAGGATAAAAATTCCTAGAAAGGTTAAGGATTTTTCTAGGCCTTTTGATACAGAAAGGTCAAAACTTTGCTAGCCCATGCAGCACATTTGAATGAATCAGAAAAAGGTAT